AAGCATTACAGAAAGGTAGAGCCTTCCTATGTTAGCTAGGTAAAAAATATGTGATTTTTCTCAACTAGACCAAGGCAAATGATTGGATGCAGCTCTGAGCAAAATGGTCTAGAAGGTGTCTCTGCTCACAGCAGCATGGAGCTAGATCATGTTTAAGATTCCTTCCAACACAAAGCATCTGTAGCCCTATGATACTTTGAAATCATCAATCTGTGAGCGAGCCTGAATCACTGGTGCTGACTGTTGGCAATACAGTAATTTAAAAGATTTGAATAATGGACACTGTTTTGGTTTTGGTTTTTTTTGGGTTTGTTTTTTTTTGTTTGTTTGTTTGTTTGTTTTGGTGTTTTGTTTGTTTGTTTTATTTTTTTTTTTTTCTGGCACATTTTGGTGACTTATACTGATATTTCAGGTGATGAGAGAAAATCTGCATTGCTAGGATTTGGGATCTGGGGATTTTCTGTGTATTGCTCCCAGCCCAAGTGTTTTGATACAGCACTCCACTTGTGGTCAAATAATCCAGTGCTTGATGCACCACCCAGGGAGAGGCAGTGTGTGCCACAGGTGAAGTAGCAATGGGGAATATGAGAGGTGTGTGAGGGGCTGGTGACTGCTCTTCAGGTGTGACTGCTGTTCGGGTGACATGCCAAATCTACCACTCTACTTCACACAAAGCACCGTGATGCAGCTTGTCTTGTCCTTTCTCTCATTCCATTCTCTGTACAATGTGGTTGTTAAAAATCATTTCTACATACAAGCAGGGGGTACAGCCTTTTCAGTCTCTTCCACCAGTAGATATGGTATAGATACAGCTTGATGGTATAGCCTGGAGTGGGAAGACAGCCTGGGTGCTTGTCCTCATCTGAACAAAACATGCACAGGAACACACGTTTGGAAAAGCCACACACAAGGGATGTACTTATGGGCAGTCAATGACTAGATTAACCAGCAATGCCAGAGCTGGAAGTGTATCACAGTTTTCTGACAGCTCAAACAACAGAAAGGGATATATGAGTTTTCCTACCCCTGGTTCTTGGCTTGACAGTCATCCTTGCTGATGTGAAATCTGTGTGGGTTTCAAAACATTTTACTAAGGATATTTGCTATCTAAAATATTCCTCAACTTGACAGAGATACCTATTGTTGGACAAACAAAATAAAGAAACCTCAGGGGCCAACAGAGCAGGACCAGGCTGGAATTAGCTGTAAATGCAGAAGTATGGGGTTTAGCTATAGTAATGACTAACCATTTCTCTACAAGTGGGGATTAATTTTGTTAATTCAGGGTCTTTCCTGTTTTCTATTGAGTGAATGTAGATGGAGAGCTGTCTGTTTGCTAATTGGGATGTACTGACACCTCTCAAGGTTTAAGATTCCTTACCTGAGTCTGAGAGATCCTGCTTTATGCAAAGTGGAGATACCACTCATTCACAACAGATCCTCAGTAAGTGACAGATAACATGCTACTACTGCTGGAATCCGTGTAGTTATTTCCTTTAGACAGTGAAATATCATCAAGTTTGCTGATATCACCAAACTGGGGGACAATATAGTTTGCATGAGGTCAGGGCTTCTATTGAGATGGTCATGGACAGCCTAGAGGAAGAGGCCTGTGGGATTCCCATGCATCAAAATGCATCAAAGCCGAATGCCTGCCCCCGAGCAGGAAGAGTGTGCTGCAGTAATGCAGGACATGAGCCAGTAACAAGCCACAGAAACACTGAATGGTTGAGGTCCAAGGGACCTCTGAGGATCACCTGGTCCAACCCCCATGAATAAGTAGGGCCACCTAGAGCTAATGGCCCGTGATCATATCCAGATGGTCTTTGAGTATCTCCAAGGCAGGTGACGCTGACACATAACGATGAGATCATCCTAAGCCTTCTCTTCTTCAGGCTGAACATTCCCAGCTCTCTCAGACTTTCCCCATATTTTACATGTTCCACTTCCTTAATCATTGGACTCTCTCCAGTACATCCACCTTTCTCTTGTACTAAAATGTCCAGTTCTACAGACACAGCCTCACCAGTGCTGAATAAAAGGAGAAGGATCTCCCATTTCTCCAGCCTGTTGAGGTCTCTCTCCAAGACAGCATAACCCTCTGGCATATCAGCAAATTCTCCCGCCTTTGTGTCACCAGAAACTTGTTGGTGGCACATTTTGCCCCATCATTAGTGAAGTCATTGAATCACCTTGTGATTCTGTGCTCTTCTAAGAACTATGACTGACCACTGCATTCCTGCTCTCTACAAGGAACGCTTTTCACACTCCTCCACTTAAAGCCTGTACTTTTTACACTGCCTTTGCCACAGTCCAGTGTGTCACTGCTGTACCCATTTGGGTTCTTTGAATTACATTTGCTTGAAGAGCACTTGCTAAATTGGAGAGTGTTTAAGGCTGGGTTGAAACTTGCCTTATATCAATACAGAGAAGGACTCTGCTGTAATTTTTTTTTCCCACTGTGAGGATATACATACAAGTTTGTAGAGCTTCATGTTCATACAAATATATTTACCTGTGGGAGGGGAATGACTCATCTATGGATTTTGAAAATGGATGTGATGACTGAATTGTTTTCTGAAGACAGGCTTTTACACCATCTGCAATGCTGTCATGTTACTGTGAACAGACCCAAAATGCATTCGGAACAACAATGTAAAACAGACTGATGTGAGAAATTCCATTGGCCATACTGTGGGAATTTTTTTAATAGCAGTGAGAAATGCAGTTTATATGAAACATAAAGAAGTGTGGTACTGACAGCCTTCTACCTGTTCCTAGAAGTTAGACACCTGGTTAGGTCTGAAAACTGAGGCTTTATCTTCTTTCTGTTATTCTTTCTGGCATTATTTCATGTAACCATTCAAATTTCATTCAACCTTGCAGAATCCTTGACCTCAATTGCACCTCTATCAATGCATTTGCACCACACTCAGAATTATCTCCTGTAGGGAATGGATTTTATCAGTTTTCATTCTGCCAGCTTTCAGGTTTGCTAACATATCTCCACATTCTTGCATCACAAGACAGAGGAAACAGAAATTCTCTATCTATCTTTTCAATCACATTCTTTTATTTAGTGTAGTGGTTTCTCATCGCCTCTTATTAATCTAATTTCTAAAGGAAACAATTGCACTCTTTTCAATCTCCCCTTAAGTGTCTTTCTGTATCCTTAATAATTATGCCCTTCTTTCAAGCCCTCTACAATTCTGTCCAATTTTTCTCAAGAAATGGTGGCTGGGGTTGTACAACTAGAAACATAACTGCATTTGTTTTGCACTATTCTCCTCAGCCCATTTTTGTGTGCATTCTGACATATCATTTGCTTTTTTCTGTCACTGTGATGCATTAAGTAGGTGCTCCAGTGTTTTACCTGTAATGATATACATATTTCTTACCTCAAGTGGCAAAACCAACAGATTTCTAATTCAACTGTTGGAGAACAAGTAGTCTGGGGGGATTTTTTGTAGTTACCAACTTCACATTTCACTTGTCTATGTAGTCTGTCCTGCATTCTAAAGTTCTTTGTCTTATTGTCACGTTCTGAATAGAATAAATAACTTTATCAGGTTTCATATTTTGTGGACAGATTTTGTAGGTAGAGTTCTGTCCATTCTTTTGTATCACTCTTGTTCTGTCATTATGCTTTTTTCTTGTGCATAGTGAAACTTCAATCTTTGGTTTTCTTTTGTTGGGGATATTATGTTTCTCCTTAAGTAGGCAGACCTACCAACTTCATCCATCTCCTGTTTTCCACTGGGGTTCACCCACAAATAATACAACTCACAGATGGAGAAAGGAATAAAGGAAAAAGAGTTAAATGGATTTCCAGCTCAGTCTCCTGCATTTTCAGATTATCATGTAGAAAACATTAATTTAAGAGTTGTTTATAAAAACATCTGCTCTCCATTCCATCTCCCATCCCACCACACAAAAAACCAGAAAAGACCATATTTAAGTTTGCAAAGCTTTTCAAAATTTGAAACTTCACCTGTAGTGTAAAAAAAAATTTCTGAGAATTATATGATCATCATATGAAGAGTAGACCCATTCAAAGGGTCTTGCATTTAGTGCAGAAAATTTCTCAAAAATAATTTTCAATCATTTATGATTTGATCATCCATGGTACAGCATAATTGCATCAATACGACCTTAAGAGAAGGAGGGAAAGAAAAAAATATTAAAGTATCTCTTAGTTATGAGGGTTTCATAGTAGTACTATGTGGTGTTTATATATAGTAATTTAAGAACATAAAGCTCTATATATTTTAGGAAAAAATAATGTAAAGGTTTTGAAATTAACCCTTGGAGGTTTCCTGTGGAGCACATATTCACCTGCCATATCCTCCCATGAAGGATGCCATGCTGGAGCAGGCTCCTGACAGACCTGTGGCCCTGTGGAGAGAGGGAACCCATGCTGAAGCAGGCTTGCTGGCAAGACTAATAACCTCTTATGAAATGGTAATAAATTAATTTCCTCAAATTGAGTCTGTTTTGTTTATGACAGTAATCAGTAAGGGAATTTCCTCTCTCTATAAAATCTCTAATCATAATTTTATTTTTTTTTATCTCTTTTCTCTTCCTGTCCTGATGAGCGTGGGGAGAATCTGAGTGGGGCCCTGGCAGCCAAAAAATGTCAAGGCCATCACAGAGCCCTCTCTGTAATCTCAGTCAAACACATACTTGCCAACAGAAAATACTTTTCACACTAGACAAGGTCAGTTATTATATTCAAATGCAAAATCTTCATGCATTATCTCTTCCACAACTAAAGGCATAATCTTCATTAAAGTGTACTTTGCATCTTCATGCCTATGCCTGGAGTTAGTTAGCACAGGTCTTATCCTAGAGATATTCTAAAATGTTTCTATCATGGGTACACTGCAAGAGGGGAAAGGATTTTGTCTTTTGACACCACTGGTGAGTCATGTGCAGCTGTGCAGCCATTTCTATTTTGAAGTTGCATCTGTACCAGAAATTGCCAACCCACGTGACAGAAGCAGAGGGACTGGATGATTGGGTCCATTAGTCAGTCTGAAAGAAACTTAACTTCCAAGGCCCTTGGATGTGACTCTTTTAATACAAAAATGATGGAAGAAATTTTCTTTAGTTGTTCAGGCAGATGGAACACCACTGAAATTGGCTGCTCCTACTCACTTGCAGCTACTCAGTTTAGGATTTTAACACCTTTTGTAAGTAACCTTTAAAAACAGTTTTTTGTTTGTTTGTTTATTGAGGTTTTGATTTGGTTTTGTGTATTTGTATGTTTGTTTGGGTTTTTGTTTGGTTGCTTTTGTTTTTGTGAGGTTTTGTTTGTTTGTTTCCTTTGGGTTTTTTTTGGTTTTCTCACCATGTTCAAACTGTTTAGAAGCTCCAGATACTGAACAGGTCAGGGAGCTGGAAATGCTGATCAAGAAATACAACAGAGTGTCTTTGCTCTCATTTATGTAGATAAGCCAACCAAGCTGAAAGAATACTTTCAGTAACAAATATTAAAATTGAAGCATGGAGTCTTGATTCTCCTATTAGAAGCAGAGACTCCATTTCTTTTGCCTTAAATTGATATGAAACAGCAATCTGGGATCCAAATATTTGGAGGTCCTGACTTTCCCTTTTGCAATTTTTGCTCATATCACTTTCCTCAAAACCTCTTGAAAGCAGCCTGGCAGAATTGATTTAGCACCAAGAGAACCTGACATTAGATTAGACCAGTTACAAAGAAGAGGGATAAAGCAGAGGAAATAAAATCACAGAGATCCTCTGAGGAAGAGGTGATTTGTGCTGTGAAGCACAGACAGCTAACAGAACAAAAGGGGAATTCCAGCTGAACACAAAACAGGCATGTAGAACTGTGATTGTGTTTGAAGCAGCTATATTATAATGGTACTGAGATAAGGAGGTAAGAAAAACAATAAGACAAATAAGGCAGATGACAGTAAGAAATGAACACAAAAATCACTTTCTCTGCTATGAGCTGTTGAGGAAAAACTGAAAGCAAGGCCAAGGCAAGAAGGAAAGAGTTTAGATTAGTTTCCTAGAAAATATTTCTTTCTAAGTGAAATGTTAACAGTGGAATAGATACACGAATTGCCCTGCAATGGCTGCTTGTATTGAAAAAAAAGCTGGTGTAGATTTTATTGGGTTGTCTCTGGAAAATAACATTATTTTTTTCTCTTTTGCGTGCATTGTATAAATTAGATTCCAGCTACTGAGCTATGAGAAGCAAAATCCTATTTAATATTATATTCAATCTGAGAGGAGCAAGCCTCCTGCCATATTGTATAGCAAGAAGGAGACTTGTGGAATGTATAATAACAGCAGGGATGAAATCTGGGGATAACTGAGAAGTTTCCCACATGTGAAGAACATACCTTTTTATCCACTCTAGGTACACTTATTCTCTGGAGGGACTTTAAACCCATTAATTTTCCACTCAACAGCCCCCATTTTGTAGAGATCGATTTTGTTTCACAGAGACATCCCTCTCAATCTCTTTCCTCACTCTCAGGCATAATCTATCTTTCTGTACTAGAGACCAAAAGCCACTCTCACCATGCTGGAAAGTATCTGGGAGTACTAAAAGTAGAGACAACTAACAAAGCTCGCAGAAGCTCTCCACCTTTTTCCTATTTGGAGGAGAAATCTGGCTTTAGATCTGTACATACCAGGTTTCCAACGTGCCTACACACATGACCATCTGTTGGGTGGCACCATGCCTGTTCTCCACATTGCAGCAGAAATTCCAAGGAGGAGCAGGCACCAGCCAAAGTGGAGCTGACAAGGATAGCCTTCTCACCAGAAGCACAGCCCTCAAAACAAGCTGTGTCCATTGGCACTGTATGAATCTCCAAGGTGCTCCCTCTGTGATCCCTCAAGACTCTTTTCCTTGGGTCAGGGGTAGAGGCTGACAGAAGTTACTGGAGGCACCAGTAGGCATCTCCCTCCAATGCCTTCTGATGATGCCTTCTGAGATAGTCTCTCTCTGGTGCCCCACTATGCCCTATTTTCTCTTGGATACCTTGTAAACAGCAGAGAACCAGTGAGAACATCTTTTGCAGGTAATAAGGAAGTTGCAGCTCACTTTGTTGTAATTCTTTGCTCCTCAGATATTTCTGAATTCTTCCTAAGACTCCCTACCAAACAAGCAACCTATGGAAATGTTCACAGCATGGAAGGGCAGATACTCATTGTTACATATAGAAAGGCAACCAAAAAAGTTGGATTTTTTTTTTTTTTCCTAAGAATTGGAAAGAGTAACTAATGAGTCATGCTTTTGGAATCTTTTGAGTTGGCTACCTGACAGATCTGCTTTCTCTGTACCTCACCCACTGGAGACATGAGCTGCACGCTTGTGGGGCTGCTTGGCTGAGGGCTTGCTGGGAGGGAAATGCCAGCTGACCAGACACTGAGGTTACCCCAGAATAACATGAATGAATTGTTTTGAAAATGGCAAACCCTGTCTTGTGGAAAGGACATTGGGAGACAGAGGTCCACCTACACCAGCGGAGAAATCAGTTTTTCTTTAATAATGAAGCATTTTTAATTACTTCACCTGATTTTTCTCTGAAAGTGTTACTTTATGCTAAGTTTTGTATTGACATTGACCTTACGTAGACTGGATAAGGAGGCTATGAAGAAGAAATAAATCAAGTATGCCAATGGCTCAGTAACATGGAGGTCAGGAACCTTATCCATTTGGGTTTGGAAGTTGATGTCTTCGCAGTGATTACTCCAGTGGTTTGAAACATATGGGTCTGTTGAACTGGAGGCCTTTTTTCCCTTTGTTTCCAGGTATATTCTTGTTCTGTCTTACTTGAAAATGATGTGAAAACTTTTTCTTGATTTATAAGAGTTCTTCCATAATTGAGAGAGCACAGAAGACAGACATATAAAGTAAAACAGTAAAATCCCCTTTGAAGTGAGTTTCATGATAACAGTTATGCTTGCAATTCAATTCTTCTTAATGGGGATTTTTCCAAAGTATTTCCTTTGAATTTCAATGTAGGGTATTCTTATATCAGAAGTATCAGTCAGGAAGGCTAAATATTTCTGAAATTCACTATGATTCTGGTTTGCTGCATGAAACCAGGAAAGAAAACCCTTTCAGGGACGAATTTATTGGTATTGGCTCTTATGGAATAAACCATGAAATACAGTAGACAGATTTATTTCTGAGCAGTGATACTTCTGTCATCATACTGATTTTCAAACCTTTGGTATGCTAGCTGGACCTTGATCTCACTGTCTTCTTATTAAAACAAATACCTTAAATAAATAATTTGCTGAGTCGCTACAATTCTGTTGCAAGACTGAGTTTAAAATGCTTATTCAGGGTGTAAAGGGATGGCTTTGTGTGTTTTTTTAACTGTCAATGGAAACTTGCTTCCCAGATGAGTGGCTGTCTCATCTACCTACCTATCCTGTATCTCAAAAAATATTAGAAATAATTTCTGAATCTTAGGGTATGTATTGAACTGAAGGTCAGGAACCTTATCCATTTGGGTTTGGAAGTTGATGTCTTCGCAGTGATCTTAGGGTATGTATTGAACTTCGCAAGAATCTTAGGGTATGTATTGAACTGAAAAGAAAAAAGTATTCTGGTTAGTGAAAACAACTCGACACAATTCAACTTCACACACTGAGTGGTCCTTTCCCTCAAATAACATTTCCTCTGTCGGTATTCAGTTTGACATGACTAGAATTATGTCACTGTGATGTGACATAATTATGACTAGAATTATGTCAGCTGTGATGTACCATGTGTCACCATGCTGTGGTATCCCATCATGGGATTGCATTCCCATGCCTGGTCACTTATCTCTCTATGACAATGCCCTGATGGCCACCAGGTCTTCTGGTGAACCTAGGCCTGGCTCAAACAGCACCCAGTTTGTGATGGGCCAGGGAGAAGACTGACACTTAGAGCCTTGTGTTTCTACACCAGTCATAAATACTTGTACCTCACCACACTCATATATTCTCTTTTTTTGACAAATTAATATTCTCGATTGCTCACCCTAGTTGATGTGCACTGCCTACTGCAGCACTAACCCTTTCAGGGAAAAAAAAAAAAAAAATCACGAGCTGCCAGAACTAACAATTCGCTTATGAGTTTATAATTTAAATTATGAAAGGCATCAACAAAAAAAAAAAAAAAAAAAAAAAAATTCAATTATTTACTAATTGTTTCAGCTAGAAAAATAATTATAGCAATTTATTGAAGGTTCTTTAAAGCAGTGATTGCTTTTACAAAGTCTTCCAGTTGACTCAGAGTAACTTGAAAGAAATTCACTGCAGTCTTTGCATGACAATTAGGGAGGGAGGCACTACAGCAAGGTTACAAAGGACTGTTCTGAATTTCTTTAGTAGCTCTTCTGAAGTGATCTGTGGTTGGACTAGAAGTGTGTGTGGTTTTTGTCTCTAACTTAAAAGTATGCGTATCTTGAGCACTAGTCAAACTGTGTGTCAGTCAAACCTCTGGCTAATGATCAAAATGATGCCAGGTACTAGAATCTTGTAGTATTGACAGCTTCATATCAGGTAGTTGACTGAGACACATACAAAAATGGAGGAAACTGGATAAAACACCTTCCTCCCCCAAAATCCACACAGAAGAATGATTTTGCCTTACCAGTACTGATAACAACTTTGGATCTAGAAAGGCCTTTATTTTTCACAGTTCATTTTCCCTTTCCCCTATTCCTTTTTCCAGAAGTCTACACTGTTAGTTGTGGCCATAATGAATTGGAGGTGCGGCTTTGATTTATTTTTGACATTCTTAAATAATTCCTTTTTAACAGAGTACTGACCATTCTGGATTTAAGGGTAGGATTTAGGTAAAAGTTCAGACATCTACAGATACATGACACAATGCCAGACTATTTTAGAAAAGCCATCAAAGCAACTGAGGATTTTCCAGTTCTGCCATATATGAGTGCTGCCCTCTAATTATAATGCAAAAACTCTCATTAACACCTTTAACCTCTGAGCCAGGCATTTAAGCTGCCACTAAAATCAAAGGAAATTTAGTCAAGGCAGCCAACGGAGTGTAGAGAACTATTTACCTGTCCAAATGTAGGTGTTTGCTTTCAGAGGAGACAAATGGCTCTCCAGAGTCCACATCTGCACCAGCCAGATCCCCATTGGCTGCCATCAAAGGTTAAATTTCCAGCTCATAGAGACACCTACATTT